CGACGTCGTAGCAGGGCGAGCTGCTCCCGCGCCTCCGCCGCCAGCTGCAGCTCCTCGCCACCTGCCGTCACCGCGGCAATGGCGCGTGCCCCGCTATCCCGCTTTGCGGCGGGAGCTTGGCCCCGCACAGCCGTGGATAACCCTGGGCACCAGAGCGCCCCGCCGATGAACCCGAGGAGGCCGCCCACGAGGGCCACCAGCACGTAGGAGAAGAGCACGAAGTAGACCGGCACCTGCCAGGGAGAGCTGACGATGCCGCCCGGGCCGCACTCGAGGTGGCAGTCGGGGCAAGCAGGGCAGCTCAGGGCGGGCGCGCAGCTGCAGGGCGGGCAGGGCGCTGAGGAAGCCCGCAACACCACCCCAGTGGACAGCCCCCGGGCCAACTCCGCCACCGCCGCGCGAGCGGCGGCCTGCATGCGCTGGCCCTCTCCCCGAGGTCTGAGGGGTGCCAGCGTGAGCAAGGACGGCGGCAGACAAAGTCGCCGCGCGGCCGCTCTCTTCTCGCCCACTGCTTCTCGTTCTGAAAAACTGCACAGGAGGAAGAGGAGGAGGGAGGAGGAGGAGGAGGAGGAGGAGGAGGAGGAAGGAGGAGGAGGAGGAGATGGAGGAGGAGGAGGAGGAGGAGGAGGAGGAGAAGATGGAGGAGGAGGAGAGGGAGGACAACGCCGATGACCTGTCGTGCAGCTGAGCCAGGAGCACAGGCCAGCAGATGGGCCCTGTCAGGGCACGCAAAACGACACGAGTTTCTTACCCGTCTTGGGATTCGTGCCAGTCTTCATGGCATCGATCTTAAATATGTGCCTGGCTCGGGCAAGCTTGTCTTCAGCAGGGCCTAAACAGGCCTCGTCCAGATTGCATGTGGCAGCCTTGGCTGACACTTGATGAGGGCCGCACAGGATGCACACCATTGCCCCTTGGGTCGCCCAAGTGCGGTGCCCACGGAGCTCAATAATCTCATCTGGCGGCGGAGCAGACGACTCGCTGTGCACAGGTGCCGCCTCTGGGGTGCTGACCGCACCCTCCTCTTGGGCCCACTGTGGGGCCACTCCTACAGCTTGGCTGCGCAAAAATGGAGCTCCTGCAAGCCCGTGTCCCGGGACGCCATCAACCTCTGTTGAGGGGTTGGGTTCAACGGGGTGCCAAGAAGCTTGGCCAAGCTAGCAGGGGTCCTAGAAACAGACATACACAGTCGACACTGGAGCACCTTGGCCCCGTCCCGAGACACATGCACTATACCACGCTGGGCGAGGCCCAACTTCGGGGTCGCCGTGGATTGCATATGGGAACGTGCGGGGCGGTCACTTTCATGATCACGATACGCAATCTTAGCAGCCGCCCACCCGAGGAACCTGGCCTTGAGCTTGGCCTCCGACAACAGCCCCTCGTGGTGCTTAACGATCGTTCCTGGATAGACATGCTCCAAGGACCCTCTCTTCGCGAAAAAGTCCGACCACGCATTGCCGATGTAGAACTCAAACGGGCAACCCGAGAGCAGCGCTTTTCCCAGATTCATGCGAACTGGAATCCACTGAAAAGACGGCCGCTTCTTGTCGCCGGCCAAATTGCTTATCTCTCTCCAGATGCCTGAATACGTAGCTCGGGCGTCAGCATGGTCTTCGCACCACGCCGCATCTTCATCGCACAGAGACAAAAGGTCCGTCACGATGAGCGAGACGGACGGGAGCAAGGAGAGCGCCTGCCAGACCGCAGCACGCTCAGCACGTCCTACCGTCTGCATTGGGCCAGCCAGCCCACCGCAGGCCCCTCGCACAGGCATGCCATTGCTTCCTAGCTGACATATCCCCCAGCCACATCTCCGAAGCTCTGACCAACTTGGGGCCATCCCAGATCCGTCCGCGTAAACCACCGTGGTCCATCTGGACCTGTGCGACGACCAATCACCCCAGAGCACCACGGGCATCTTCAAGGGCACCTTCGGAATGGCCGGAGGAGACAGCGGCATGCCCACACAACATCCGAACTTGCCCCAATCGGAGTTCCCGAGGCCCGTGACGCCCATGGACTGGAGGTGTTTCTCGGCATAGTCAAACTTGGGGCCCCATCTGAGGTCCTCATCTTGAACTTCATCGTAGAGCCTTGGGCAATCGTACATTTGGTGACCTACGGCGTCGGGAGGCCCAGTGGGGCACCATGGGCACGCTGGGGAAATAAGATAGCCCGCGTTTGCCATCCTAGATCCTGTCCAAGGCCCTCCAGACCAAAGCGTCCTTCGGGCACCTGCAAACCGAAGAGGCCCGAACAGCTGCCTTGGCACCGCCTGGGCATCGCCGAAGAGCACGCATCCAAAGCTGCTCGCCACCAAAGCACACGCCCTTATGCCAATCGAATATCTTCGAAGTCTGCCACCTTCGAACTCCATCCTTGACCTATGAAAGTACCGATATGGGCGGAATTCTCATTAAATCGATCGCGTACTGGTTGTCATCGTAAAGGACGGTGCTAGATAGCACGCTCCAGCCTACCCTAGCCAGCGCGAGCCACAATATTGAAATCGGTCCCCGAACATCAGCCCAGTTAGCTGCGTCCCGAAGTTGCTGATTGACCGCCACCCAAGTCCTCTGGAGCCGCCCCAAGGAAATACGCTGCTCCCATACAAAGCTCGCATAAGCCTTCACAGGCTCCAGAGTAGCATGAATGGAGGCAAATCATATAGCTCCTCACGCTGCGTGGCTAAAACGAGCGTCAAAGAAGGTGCTGTGGACGACCTGCCGCAAACTACCCCAGCTGCTCGCCTGAGCCTGAGGAGCTCCTGCTCCGAAACTCCAGAAACAGACGCACCGCGCGCACCAGCAGAAAGCAAACCAGTACGTCAGAGTGCAGTGACCAAGCCTCCAGCGCCCTTGCGCACCATGAGTACCCTTGGCATCATATTTCTGGATTTTTTGAGTATCACTTCGGCTTGCTTTCTGATCGGCTTCGCACCCGAGAGCTCATGCCCAAGATTTCTGGTCCATTTCTTAGCCGCGAGACGCAAACGCTTAGCACCCTCGTCGAACGACTTCCAGGAGCTCCTGGATCTGGAAACCCATCCCGACTTCCCAGGTTGAACAATGAGTCCCAGTTCCCGAACATCTTCCTTGAACTCCGAGACAGCCTCCGAGAGTTCCGAAACCTCCAGAAGATTAGAATCAGTCCACTGCAAAGTACTGTCGCCGCCAAGGGCCCCAGGCATGATGGTGTAATTCTCGGTGTGCACCTCGTTGATCACGCGGAGCGTCAATATATTCAACAAAGTCGTCGCGTGCGTGCAACCTGCTAAGATACCTTGCAGCGCAACTGCCCGTAGACTCCAGCAGTCATAAGCATTTATCACTATCGGCTGCACGTAGGACTCTGGCAACAATCAGAGCAAGATAATCGGATAGTAGAGGCAGACCGCCTCGTCCATCAAGGCAGGAAATAGCACCGTCTCGAAGCATTCCCACATGTCTAATACTATGCATATTGAATGTTATCCTAGCCTATCAGCTACTTCGGCCTGTAGATTATGCTCATACGCTGCAAACGACGACGACTATCCGAGACGGTTGCCCCAGACATGCTTACTCCAGTGGGTTATGACCCATGCCCTGGACATTGGCCTTCGAAAGCGGGACCACACACGGACCAGGCTCTCGACTATCGACTAGCGCGATCAATCTAGTGCCCCCACCCGCCTTGGCAAGCCTGACCATCTCGTTAATGATTCTTCCTTGCGGCCAGATCAAGAGCCGCTCGCACAGCATGAAAAGCTCGGCGACAGCCATCAAACCAACATCAGAAATATACTCGAACAGCCGTGGATGAATCCGAGTCGGGCCAGTGGCTGTCTTCCACGAAAATGTTTGCATTGTTTTCACGCACACTCTGCACTGCGATGTACTGCAATGTTGGCCATTTATCGTGTGCACTGGGTAATTGCATGCGCTGCGTGTCATGACATGTCCATACTCGTCGCCATTTCCACATCTCATCGTCCATCATTTCAGAAGGTTGCGTGCGCTGCGTGCTCATGATGTTAGCTTGTAAGGCCTGCAATCTGGTGAGCCTATGCGCCTTACCCGCACCGTTGAGAAATGCCGTGCTCATCCAGTCCTTCCATTGCTGCTTGCTTGCATGATCAAGTTCAGCTTGGAACTCATCTGATTTCTCAACTATGTTGTAGGCGAAATCTTCAAAGTCTGGCCTGCCTAGAGAAACAATGCCAGCCAGAAAAAAGCTCCGAACATCATCTGACAAAAGACTCAATGCCTCAGTCTGCTTAGCAATACGCCCACAGAAACCAGCAAAATCCTCCACAGAAGACACCAGCCTCGTCATGGGCTCAGATTGCTTGACCTTTCGTATCCTTGGCACCAGTCGATCTCGCTTCGGGTCGCCTAGGCCCTTCGGAGAAACCCTCCACCAGGGGACGCGCGGGCACGAAGAAGAGGGGGTCATCAAATCTGGGGAGAGGTCGCGGCCCCGGTCATGATGTCCACCTTGGAGGCGGCCGGGGTGTCTGAACTGGATGGTGTCTGAACTGGAAAGGAAGAGAATAGAAGTAGAGGAGGAGGGAGGAGAGGGGGGGGGGCGGGTGGGTTCGAACCACCCCCGTCACGGGAGAGGGGGGGTTCAACCTCCGCCCTCCTTCAATCCAGGGGGTGGGTCCGGTTCCAAACCCCCCCATCCCTCCAAGCGCCCACAGAAATCGCTCTTTCAGAAAATCGGTCAGAAGGGGAGATAAGGGCAGATGAGCTAAAAATCTGTCCCCAGACCCCTCTTGGGGTCTATCTGGTGTAGCTTTTCACTCCTGATCCATTTTTGACAGTCCTGGGGTCCGAAACACGCCGTCGGAGACCGAGAAAAAGCAACAAAACTGCTCGAACCAAGAACTTTCAACCTCTTCTCTTCCCCCTCTTCCTGCCCGCCGAAACCAGTGCTGCGCAACCTTAGACCCCTAGCCAGCTCCAGTGTCCATCCATACTGGTCATCACCCTCCTCTTGGACGCCCCCGACGCCTCCTTCGCGGCCCTCAGCGCGGCGCGTTCCCGGACCTCTCGGCTGCACGCAAGATCGGCCCTGAGGCAAGGGGGGCCTCTGGTGCGCGGCTTTCGGGGGCCGCGGTGGGGCCAAATCCCAGCGCGCATGGGATTTTTGAAGACATAGTAATACTACGTGCCCCCCGGGAGGCGAACGTCGGAACCGAACATGTAGCACAAACATAATATACTACATCGCTACCCTGGCGGTATGGCCAGAAAGCGCCTGCCACCGAACATAAACTATCAGATTTCTCAGCGCGCGCGTCGCCCCTGGGGAGGCGACGTACACATAGTATAAAACCAACCCCCATCCTTCCACTTCGGGAAAGGTTTATCACTGTTCCCTATTAATAAACACATTGCCTACAAACCTGGCGCATGCGCGGGCGCCCCGCGACCACTTTGCAATCGTTTTTGGCAGGGACGGCGGGGTTGCCGGCATATTGCTTTTTGCGCGTAGGCCAATCATCCCTGTCAAAAAACCATACAAAATTACAGCTTGGCTCCAAATCTGGAGCATGCGCAGGACCCTCTTTGTCTGAGCTCCCATCTGCTTCACGACTCGTCAAGATGTCACAAGTTGGCCATCGGTGCCGGTGCTTTGCGCTCCCTGGAACAGCCGCCCTCATCACAACATGTTCGGCATTTCGCTTCAGGGGCATTCAAGATCCTGAACTCCTTGGGGCCAGGGCCCCAGGCTCGTGGGGTCCCTATTGGTTCCCCGTAGCTGACGCAGCTGGAGCACGTGGCACAGTTGGCGCACGCGGAGCATGTGCCGCACCTGGCACGCTTGGGCCACCAGGGTGCCTGGTGCACCTGGAACCTGCGGCGCGCAGGGCGTGTGTGGCGTTCCTCAGCGATCTGGTGACACTCGGATGTTCCTTGTGTGTTGGGAGGGCGGGCGGGAGTGAGCCTGACGGCCTGCTATCTAGGGAGTGTAGCTTGACCCTTCCCCCTCCGGCAGGTTCGTGTCGTGTCGACCCTGGCGTTGGTTCTCGACTCCGCGGGGACCGTTCAAATATGAACGATCGGCCGTTCCCGAAACGTCAGGATCGTTCAACATCGACCGATTCAGGGCCGCCGCCCGCGTTCAACGTTGATTGCTTGCGGTCGAGTCGCCGCCGGTCGACACGACTCGAACCTACCGTACCCCCTCCCCCTGGACCTGGACGGGGCTACCCGCGCAGGGTTGGAGCGTCCAAGATGGCCTCGGCGAGAAGGTCACTCTTTTCGTTTACTGAAGTTTCGGGCCACCCAGGAGGTGCCAAGAGGCACCCAAAACGTCCCCAAGAGGCCCCCAACAGGCCCCAGGAGGCGGTCCCGAGGCATCCAAGACGCTTCAAGACGCCCCTGGGGCCGCCAAGAGGCCCCCAAGACGCCCAACATGCATGCAAGCTCCTCTCGAGACATCCGAAGACGTTCCGCGAAGTTTTCAGGAAACCTCTGGCCTTCCTGTTCGCCCGCATCCTCTTCCTCTTCCTCATCCGCCTAATGTTCCTCCTCACTCTTCCCTTTTCCCTCCTCCCTCCCCCCCTCCCATCATCCTCCTCCCCTGTTTCCTCCTCTATCCTCCCCCTCTTGGGGCACAACGGTTTCCCAACCTTCAGTCCACTGTATGCTCTCCCACATGCCAGGTCAGGGCAACTCGCCTGGGCATCGTTTCTAGATGGGCTGGTGAGGTTTTTTTTTTAAACAGCCGCGGGCGGAAGCGCCAGCGGCGGCGGGTAACGGTCGGGCTGCGGCCGCTACAAGTTGGCCAGAGGCGCGCGCGAACCGCGGCCGGCGCAGGGCGGCGGGTGCAAGGGTGCTGCTGCCCAGGGAGTCTGATGGGGACCCAGCACCCAGGGAGAAGTAATTACGTTGCCAAAGTGGCGCGATGCAAGACCCCAACCGTGCCAGAGGCTACAGAACAAATGCGGCCTGAGACACTAACTGAACAGGAGGAAGTCCCAACCTCGGCGGGAATGTAATGCGAGGGGATCCAGAGACCTGCCATGCACAAGCATCAACCGAAAGACACACGAGCGGTCGTCAGTCGGCATCCGTACGAAAGGTTAGCTCTGACAGCGCCAGCGAACCGTCGCAGCTTCAGAGTACGCACCCACACAGCCCAAAGGCGTGGAGTTCGTGGTGTCGAACCGAACCAGGCACGCCAGCCCAGAAGACAGCCGCGAATGGATGCGAACGCAAGCGACCATCAAGTGACATGATGTAACGCTATGCGGAAGGTACAACAGTCCCAATCCACTACCAGCCACAAATCGCAAGCGACGCCAACCGGATGAGAACAGGCAAGTGTACCAGGGAGCAACTAACGTGACCAGCACAACCGGAGCCGCCTAACCAAAGTAACCGGGCGTAACTGAGTGGAGTAGACGAAGGCGCTCGAGGAGCGGTGCTGCCTCTTACCAGCTGCAGCCCAGGCAACAGCCAGCGGTCACGAAGAAGCCCAGGGAAGACCGCTCGTCCGGGTGGAGCGGGGGCGCGACGGTGGAAATGCCAGCCCAGGCAGCCGTAACTGGCGGCCAACAAAGGCCCAGCGAACCACTGCACAGACGTGGGATCAGTCTTCTGCCAACCCGCTGTCGCACTGAGGCCGGTGCGCGCAGGTAGGTGCGTAACTGGTCCCTGCGTCCGAACGCGGCAAAGTCCTACGGGTGGGCACCCCAAGTCATCGTCACCGGAGGGCTACCTCAACGGCACCAGAAGTGCACCGTCTGGTCTACGTTGAAGACCCGCTGTCGGGAAGCCACCCGCCCACAGTCGCACCCAGGAGAGCGCAGAGAAGAGCAGCTGAAGGCCGCTGTTTTCCATGGAGAAACCCAGGGAGCATGAGTGCGGCACTGGACAGTGACGAGGCGAAGCCATCTTTGCGTCGGTCACAGAAGCGCGAGGCCGGCGGACGGACCCCGACAGGGCCAGAGGTGAAAACAACTACAGCGGGGCCAGGGGCCAACTATGGCCTGCACGCAACACGCCCCAGCGCTGTCATGCTGACGGTATTGCTGGCAAACACACTTGGGTCCAAAGGAAGGAAGTGCGCGTACCAGGGAGGGCGGCGGAAGGCCGCCACGTGTGCACAAGAAACTGAAGAGCAGCTGAAGGCCGCAGTACCTTTGAGAACCCAGGGGGCATGGTGAGTGCGGATCTGGACAGAGACGGGGCAACGCCATCGGCGTCGGTCACAGAGCCGCGAGGCCGGGGGGCGAAGTCCAACAGGGCCAGAGGTGAAAACAACTACAGCAGGGACGGGGCCAACTATGGCCTGCACGCAACACGCCCCCGTGATGCCATGCAGACGGCATTGCTGGTAAACACACAATTGGGTCCACAGGCAGGAAGTGCGCGTACCAGGGAGGGCGGCGGCAGGCCGCCATCCGAGTATATGAAACGCATCTCAGGCAGGCAGCTGAAGGCTGCACAGAGTGTGGAAAACAGACGCTGCACCTGAAACTCTTGGGGAAGGGGGGGGGGGGCTCAGTCGGCCCACAGTTGCCTCTTCTCGCCACGGTCATCTGGCCTGCCGCCACCACGCTTGCCTCCTGACTGCCACTGGTCGTCGTGCCAGCCAGAGCTCCAGCCACTCTGCCAGTTGTCCCAGGCGTCCCAGGAGCTCCTTGCCCGGTCGTTACCCTTGCCCGCGCCGTCTGTCCTGGTGTGGCGCATGTATTCGGCCCGCACCGTTGCCCAGTCGATGCAGAAGTTAAACTTATTGTCCATCGCGTGGGCATCGTATCCGCAGTGCTTCCAGTCATCCAAGAACTTGTTGATGTTCGCGTCCGTGTGCAGCTTCGGGTCTGACTTGGGATCCTTGGACCCAGGGATCCGGATGCCTTTTGCGCACGCAGTCCAACGGGCACAGAATACCCCACCCAAGTCAACTTGGTGTCTGGTGATGCGCTTGGCGGGCGTCTCTCCGCGGCGCTTCAAGTCCACGGAGCCCAACCAAGACTTGTGCATGGGGCCTCCGTGGGCGTCGGTCAGCTGGTTGAGAACGTGTCGTTCCGGGGCGCCAGAGTAGGCCAGCCTGCGGTCTGGTGCTTGCGGATTGCGTAGTGCGGGGCGGTGGTCCTGTGCTGCGCCTCTGTCTCGCGCGGCTTCGTCTCGACCTGGGCCCCTGGAACCACTGGCGTTCTGCTGCGGTGGCTGCACCACCCCGGGCGTTCAACGGGTCGTCGTCGGAGCTGGGTTCCATGCTGTCTGCCATTGGGCTTTGCTGTGGCGGCTTGGCGCCAGGGCCATCATCTTCCGCACCCGCGTCCGTGTCCGGACCGTCATCAGGGGGAGGAGCCTCTTGGGGGCTTCCAAAGTCGGCTGAATCCGCTCGCTCACCGACAGGAATTTCATCTTCGTCGCCCTCCTCTTTGGCAACTGGGCCAGGCACCTTCGCGTCTCCAGTGCACATCCCGGCGTCTCTCGAACCCAGGGAGTAGTCTGCACCAACCGCTGTGGAGGCGTCGCCCACGGTTCTTGCTGGAGCTTTAGGCTTGCCCAGCCACTGAGTCGGAGGGCGCCCTGTCTCGTTGCCGGGCCTGTTCTCGCTCATGGCCAGCACATGCGAGGCCGCCAGGGAGGTGATGGTTGTCGAGGCCAGGGCATCGGCACTGAGGCTGAGCAGGAAGCTCGTCAGCGCGCCCATCTCGTGTCTGACTGGGTCGAAGCCACTCGCCGGGGCGAGGGTCGAGACATGCCGCTCCCAGGCCTCTTTGTGTTTCTCGCCGTTGGTGAGGTGGGAGACGACTCGCGCGGCGGCCAGCCGCTTGCCTCCCCAGGGCTGGTTGCGCGGGGAGCAATCCCTCGGGATGCAGTCGCCGCACGCCGCCCTGAGAAAATTCGTCGACCGACCGCCTGGCCACGAGGCTTCTTCGTTTTTAGGCTCTGGGATGTTCTCATCGCAATGGCCGTGGCAGAACTGCCGCCAAAGGTAGTCCAGTCCAGGGTGGAAGTCCCGGAGGTAGGTCACGAAGAGCTGCTGAACGACCACGTTTCCGCTGCCAGACCTACTCCTGGGG